GAAAATTGAAATGCCATCTGGGTGTCACACAGCATTTATTTTTTTAAATAAAAGACATACCAAGATATATAGAGACCAGCATGCCCAACCACCAGATTTAACTTGAGAATATTTCACCATATTACTCACAGTATTTCTAGAGTGCCACCACAAGTGAGCCAAAATGTAACAGCTAACCATATTGTATATGCATATTAAATACATGCTCCTGGAAAGGATTATCTGGGAAGTAGGAAGTAGTCAAACAAACCCATTATCAATTCCTGAGAAGCTACAAAGAAAATTTCTGCATTTTTCTACCTCTGTACACCCCCATTCAAAGCATTCTGTGCCCAAACTCCTGAAAATACCAACGAAACAAAAAAGCAAACAAAACACAGTATATTCTATAGTTATGGTTTTCAAAGTAGGCAGTTTAGGCAAATACATTTCCAAGGTTCCACAAATATTTCATTTTAAAAAATATATTTTAACTATTTATACATTTAATAGAAAAACAACTAAAAATCTACCCCTACTAGCCCTAGGGTTGATAAAATGTAGCATATTTAATCACCCAAGTCAGTGTCTTATATGACACTAAGATCAAAAATGACCCAACTTCTGAACACGTCCGATCCCATCTGATCTCAGAAGCTAAGCAGGGTCGGGCCTGGTTAGTACTTGGATGGGAGACCACTTAAGTCCAGGTGCCATAGGTGTAAAAAGTAGAAATTAAAAAAAATAAGGAATTATAAGCTGACAAGGTCCTTGCAATCTGTGAGGTCAACCACAGGTTGCCTCACCTAAAAAAAAAAAAAAAAATGACTCAACTTGACCAAAATGATATTAGCAAAGTTTGCTTTTCTAATCTATATAAGATCATAAGCTACAAAGAGGCTCAGGCTCAAGATATTTTTGTTACGATGCTTAAAGAATTCATGAAAGCAGTATGGAAAATTAGGAGATGTGATCTAGTAACAGGCATTTCAATATTAAACTCAGGCCTGGTCAGACTTCCCTCTCCCCGCTCCCAGAGCGGGAGAGTGAGCTGCTTCCCCAAACCAGAAACTCCCAGCCCCAGGACCTGCACTGAGTTCTCAAGGCTGGAGAGATACCAGCTTTGATATCTTTGGGGTTACGGTACTGGCTTAAGTTTGTAAAAAGAACCCTAATTTCACACTAATCAGCCAGTGCCCAGTGACCGAGCCCTTCAGAAATCTCTACAAGCAGCGTGACAACAAAACCATTGGTACAGGCAGACAGAGTACCACGAAGGGTTTTACGCAGCCGACAGCAGAATCAGATCTACATTCTAAATGCACCACTCTGTAACGGTGTGAAGGGCAGCACTGGGGAGACAGGAGGCTAGCAGCACGGACAGCGGTCTGGAAGTGCAGGGAAAGGTGGTTGGTGATGGGCTGAGGGAAGGCGGTGCAGGGCAACGGGCCTGAGAGAAGATGAGGAGAGAAACCAAAGACATGAAATCCGATGGGAGGATGGATGGTCCTACGCATTCCCGAGCCTCGAAGTAAAGGGCATGCTTATTATTCTACCGTCTCACGGCTGAAAGCAGCGGGCAGGAACGGCAGCATCGCACCGCTAGCTCTCCTGGACCTGGCTGTGCACAGCGGGAGGAAGCTGCCAGATCCGGCTTCCCGCCAGCAGTGAGAGCTTCTCCGTGCTCCCCTCCCGCAACCAGATGAGGCTGAGTGAGACTGAAGCCTTCTGGAAACTAATGTCAGAAAAAGGAATTCAGATCTGCAGCAATCCTCACTGCAAAGGAATTAGGCTAAGTAAAATCTATAGTGCTGGAAACAGATCTCGACCATCAGCCAGAAAGAGTTTTTAACATAATGTAAACGTCTGGAGTCTTCTCAATTTTGGGTCACACGTAATGATAGCTCCTTCTATTAGCAACCACTGTACCAGCACTCAGGGTAGAGAGAGGCCAAGTTAGACTGGCTTCTTCAGGGCACGACCCCTGTCCCAACAAACGAACGAATGCCCAATGTAAGTGCAATGTCACAACCAGACTCACAGATCTGGGGGTTCCAAGTCACTGGTAAGAGGACTGAGAAAAACAGAAGAAATCAAATTATCAGAAAGGGCATACTTGTCCACTGTTCGTGGGAACATAAAATGGTAAAGGCTTTTTGGACTGTAATCTGGCAATATCTATTATAATTTTAAATGTTCACATATTCTTTGACTCAGAAACTTCACTTCTAGGAGAAAAAATGTATGTGACTAAATTAGCTGCAGCACTTACAAACAGTGTGCTACCAAACAGCAGCGTATTCTCTAAATTAACAGTAGTGTTTACTAGCACGGAAATGACCCAGTCTACCTAAGTATACTGTGAAATGGTGTCTCTATATTATCCTAATACGTGTGTTTTTAATTTATATATTTTAGAGAAATCTCACAAACATAATGTGAAATAAAGAAAGACACACAAAAAAGTACATACTAGGTGAACCGCAACTTATTTAAAGTTCGAACACAGGCAAAATAAATCTTATAAATATGTTTTTTAATTCTTAGGAAGATAGTTCCCCCTTTCCCAGTATCTAAAAGACCTACAGATTTATACTATAAGATTCTTAGTGTAAGAACCCTGGGAGCAGCTCAAAGAAAAATAAAGCTCGTCACTTAAAAAAAAAAAAAAGTCTGATGTTTCCTTCTCATGCAGGGTCATGAGCAAGAATCCAGCATAGAACATCCTGTCCCAGACATGGAGACAGCCATGCTGAAACAGAACTGCGGGGAGTCAGTCAAGTGTCTCAAGAACCTGACGTCACATCCTTGAAATATCAAATATCCCCCCAAATGCACCCAAACCACCTCAAAAACCATTCAGAGTAGTTCGCTACCCCAGGGACTCCCAGTCTGGAAGGAGGTATGTCTCTGAGAGTAGAGCTCATCACAGCGTCACCCCAGAGAAGCTCATCACACAGGACTACAGCAAGCTTCAGCCAACACAATCCATGGACTATTCATGAGGCCAGAGAGCGACGGGAAGGACATGGGTGGGTTGTTATATTACCAAAGCCAGCACGACTCACTGGACTCAGTCACCCTGCTGATGACTATGGGCAGAAGGTGGGGGCAGAGGTGACAGGGTGAGCTTCTCCAAGCCCTGACTGCCCTCAACACAGGACGCCTGATACAGTCATATCTCAGGACCTCACAGAGGTCACCTGGCTAAATGTCACACCTACTGCGGACATCCCCTTTCCTGCTCTTCCTGCCATGAGAGGACGAATGAGCTACACGGGGCGAGGTGGACAGAGAAGACAGGCTGAATCCAGCCTTCTCGGAGCTACATTCGACATGGCAGGAACCAAGAGGGCGCTCTGGGTGGGACCGGGAAAATTCTACACCTACCCTCACATAACAGAGACAGAAAAACCTTAGTTCATTAGGATTTTGTTAATCAACAGAATTTTTTTTTAATTAGGAAAATTCCAGATAAAATATTTTAGATTTTAAAATCTAATTTCCTTAATAAATTCTGAAGTAAAAATGTTTAATATTTCTACATCAAAAATTTTTATTAAACAGGCAGCATATTAAAGTAGAGAAAACACAGGAACTGGGAACAAGAGGGCCCAGTGACATATGAATGTACATGTACATCACATGGCCATATGCCTCGAAGGGAAGTCACATTTACTCCCTGGGCTTCAGTATTATCAGCAAAAAGAGGCATTTGGTGATCTTGAAAGATCCTTTCCAGCTCTAAAATACTGTGATTTTAAGGTACTCCTGATATTTCTCCTAGAAATATTAACCAAAGGCAGTAAAGAATTTTATCACCTCCAGAAACACACTTATAAGATTTCAGACTCTCACAGGTTCAAATAAAATACTGTATGCTCGTTGTGAACATGTAATTAAAATGTTCCTAGAAATATGTCGTTCACATCTCCACAAACCAACCTGCATCTGCAGAGTCTCCTTCCTTCCTATAAAAATGGAGCGAGACCCCGACTCAAAGGCCGACCCACTCCCATGTGTGCTCAGGGAGCCTCCTCTTCCCCCTCCCCAGGAAGCCCGTCCAGTCTCTGCTTTCCTTGCTGCTTCTCTTCAAACTCCTCTCTCTCCCTCTCTCCCTCCCACCCCTCCTCTCTACCCCCCCTCTCTCTAATGGCCACCTCAAATCCATCCTCACCCACCTTGATTATTTACAAAGCAGCCAGAGTGATCTTTCTAAACTACAGATGTAATCACATCACCCATCATTCTTGTTGTTCCTAAGTTGAAATCAACATCCTTCACACGACCTATCCGTATAGGCCTATGTCACCAGTCCCCGCGACCCCACTGAGTTAACGAGTCTCACCTCCTGTCATGTGCTCACTGCACCTGAGAAAGCACAAGGCCTCTTCCTCAAAGGCGCCAAGCCCTTCCCCTACCCCGGGTCTGCCCTTTCCTGACAGGACGCTCCCTCTCGCCACGACCGCTTCCTCCTGCCTGGCCAGTTCCTAGTCTCCTTCAGGTCTCCTTTAGCCATGATGTCCTGGTGGAAGTCTTCTGCTATGAGTTAGGCCAACCTGACCTTGTCATTTTATCTGTTTTAGCAGCAAAGCGGCAAACTACTTGACTAGTATTTTAATCATTTCTCACACTGGTTGGTGAGAAGGAAAAATTTTTTCTATATCCTTACAAATTAAAAACCAAAAAGATTAAAAAACTTTTATAAAGACATCTAAGTCCACTTGAGTCTGTTTTGTCAAGTAAAGTTACCTTAATATTTTCAAGTTATGAAATTCAATATCCTGTGAGCTAAACCGTAGCTAAAACGAGCAAACCTATGCTCTTACCAAGTTCAGGCTACATGGCCAGTTTCTAATGTGCTGCATGTTTACACATAAACTAAACTAAGAAGCTGACTGATTTCTCTATAAATGAGTGGTCGTCTCTCCAGAACAGACTCTGCACGTCTACGCGTTTCTACCCCTAATCGTGATCACAGCTCATTCAGCAGAGCGACTCCAGAGGGCTCCTGGACTCACCAACACTCTGTCTCCGATTCTGAGCTCCCTTTCTCCTTTCTTGATTGAGCCAGCCTCGGAAAGGTTGGAGATGGATTCACTGGCAGTTTTCGTAAGGTTGCTGAGCTGAGGCGTAGCTGAAGGCTCCTTTGCTGCTGGCTGGGACGATTTCTGAGGAATATTTGAGGGGGTCGCTGGAGAGGAGGACGTCATGCTGGCTGCAGAAGTGGACAGGGGTGATGCCGTTCTAGAAGCATGAGTCGTCTGCAGGCCATTAGCTTCATCTTCTGCCTGCACCTTCCTCGTCAGCTTTGAAGGTCGGGTGAAAATGCCCTTTAAAGGTTCACACTGGAAATACCGCACGCCTGCCACTGACCCGTCATTCTTCCCGATGGGTTCATCCAGCACTATCCCGGCCCACTGGCCTGGCGCGAACTGTGTTTCTCCCAGAAACTGGATAAATCCAGGCTTATTTCCATTCACCCAAACTCGCTCCCCAACTCGAAAGTCGTCCACAAACTCCTCTTGCGTTTCAGAGGATGGCGTGCTCGATGCTTTTTCGCTGGATATTGCTTTTTCTGCTGGAGCTGCAACTGAAAACAGAAGAAAGGATCAGGATAGATTCAGTTTCGTATTCAAGCAGACAACGCCTAACTAAAGGAAAATAAACCAGAGAACTCCAAAAGCGACAGGGGCCGCCACAACTCTTCTAGACGTGTGCTGTTTTTAGCAAGGAGGCAAAAAGTACTTGATGCATCACTACCATTTTCGATGCTGTTGAAATTCCATGAGCAGGTGAGATTTAATCCTTACTTGCAATTAAGATTTGAAGAAGTCAAAACAAGAAAAATTAGTCCTTTTCCCAGTTCAAATATAGGTCTGAGTTCATTCTTTAACCCAACCCCACCCTGCACATCAGGCTCAAACACCTACTCGAATCCGCTGGGATGGGCTATTCCCACGTTTGAGTCATCAACGAAAGCTGGCGACATTAGGACCATTTAACCAGAAATTCATAATAGGGCTCGCTGAGGAGAAGGTTCAGTGCTCCAGTCCCCATCATCATTATCCCAAGACAACCAAATAAACCCTATTCTTTGCTAGCAGAGATGGAAATCACAGCAAGGAAAAAAGAGACAGCACTGGGCCAAAGTGCCCGTTAAGGCACTCTCTATGGTAAAGGCAGAAGTTAAATTTTGCCAGAAATGTGATATTTACACTGGAAATGAATTCATGCCTTCACCTTAAAAGCATTTATGAAATATTTGGCATGAATTGGCAAAGAAAGCCCACATTCTTAATCCCTCTACCATTTCCTGGGCATATTGTGATCTTAGGATATTACACAACCTCTCTGAGTTTCAATTTCTTCATCTGTAAAGGGAAAGTAATAGCTACCTTGAGGGTTTTTTAAATGCAGATTAAATGAGATAATGTATTTGTTCATGCTGCATGTTTTTTGAAGTCCTACCACTGAGAGACTGCTCCCAGGCATTGTTCTTCACTAGGGACAAAAAGCAAGACAGCACAGTCCATGCCTTCGTAGAGCTCAGAGTCTAGAGGTGAGGAGACAGTAAGAGACACACAAGTAATTTCAAGCTGCAGCCTAAGTGCTGTGGAAGAGGTAGTGCTTTGGGGCAGAGCAGTCAGGGAAGACCTCCTGGAAGAGGTGACATCTGGCCTGTGGTCTGATGAATAGGAGTCAATCATGAAAAGCTGAGGAGTAGTGTGGTCTGGCCAGCCTAGAGTGAGTGCCAAACATCTCTTTACCCCACACAGGAAGGAAGACCTGTGCAGTTTCTAATTGTGGCGGGTTTTTGTTTGTTTTTAAGAAGAGTAGATACCCTCAGATAGAACCGATAATAATCTGCCAAAGATGGGCCGGCCCAGTCGGCTCTCTAGAGTCCGTTCAAGCTTTGAGCATCACTTACGCCTCTTCCTGGGGTGCTGCAAGCATGGATTTCTGCAAAACAATCTTCATAAAAGTACCTCAAATTCCTTTGCAATTATTTCCTTTCAAGCACTATGAGTTTTAGTATTGATAAGTTACTTTACTCTTAAAAAAAAAAAATCTAGAGGGTGCCAAATACTGTTAGGGAAATTAAGCTGAATTGCTCATGACCCCTGGACTCAAGGACTTTACATGCTAAGGAGTGAATCTAAAAAATGCTAAAAGTGAAAAAGACAATTCTAAACAGAGCTGAGTATAACAATGGAAGGCTTCATGGAAGGGCTGGCACTTGACGAGGTCTTAACAAGAGGAAGGCTTTTGAGGGAAGGAGAATCGGGGATGTCGATTTTGACTGCTTTCCTCAAAGCTGAATAGCCCATTTCTTCACAATCCTTTGCTTTCTCAGCAAAGCTTTCCTCTCATCTAATGTGTGATGGTCTCTCTGGTAAGTTCTTGTTATGTGCCAGGCGATGTTCTAGGTATGTGGGTGGAACACAGCAGTGGAAAAAACAAGAACAGCAACAAAGATCCTGCCCTCGTGAAAGACCAATGAGGATCTTTATGGGAAGAATTTAAGGGATGGTGTTGAACTTAATATATCATAGGAGCCACCTGTCTGGAACGGTTGATAAGATGTTTAACAGTATACGTAAACTACGTAAAAAGACCGTAAGAGCAAGCATCAGATGTCCTCTCTCCTGTCCCTCCTCTTAAAATGTACGGTGATCATTATGGGATGTACACTGAAATGGTGGAGATGCAGAACTGATGAGGAACGGGCTGCTGAAGACAATCAAGGGCATGGGTTCATCCGTGACGCGGGGAGGGCTCCCTCAGCAGCTAGACTTGAGCCACTGCACTGCCTTGATGCCGATGGCCAACTTTAGGTCAGTGAATGTCATCACAGCTTTTAAGCCAGACTAATCTGTTTTCTCTACATATCCCTAATTCGCAAGGAGAAAAGTCCAGATGAGTTCAGAAGACACATGGGGAGAAAAACTTCACATCAAATACAAAAGGCACTTAACTATTTTAGCACCTGACACTGAATCAACTAAATTAAAGATAACCTACGACAAAGTACACTCTTCATTGATTAAGACTTAGACATAAAATTCTATTGTCTTATTTAAAAGTTTTTCGTCTACGGCCATACCACCCTGAACACGCCCGATCTTGTCTGATCTCAGAAGGTAAGCAGGGTCGGGCCTGGTTAGTACTTGGATGGGAGACCATCTAGGAAGACCGAGCGATGTAGGTGTAAAAAGAATATTTTTTTCAAATATTTTCAAGAATATGAAGTTTTGTAAGATTGTCTTTTTTAAATATTCAAATTGAAGTCTTCATTTAGGATTACAATTCATTTGCTATCAAGTAAAAACACAGAGCCTTACCAGATGCAGGTGTCTTCAAGGCTGTGCTTCCAGGCTTAAGGATCTTGGTAGGGACCTTAAGCCCGCTTGGTTTTAGCATACTCATTGTCCTTAGTATGTCAGAGCCGCTTTTCCTTTGCCTGTTGTCACTATCTTTCCCCAACCATTGATATGACTGTGGGTGTTTCTACAGTGAAGTCAGTCTGCGAGTTAAATCTGCAAAGAGAAAAATATAAAATAGGAGAAAGAAACAACAGTTATTATTAAAGAAGCTTTTACACGGAGGGTAGGGGGAAAGTGGGACAGTGAGGTAGACGGGGTAAAGGAGGTCAAATATGTGGTGACAGAAATAAATTTAACTATGGGAGGTGAACACACAGTGTAAACATATATATGCCTTACTGTTAAAGTGTATAGCTGAAATTTATTGGATTTCGTTAACCAAAGTCACCATAAAAATGTTAATTAATTAATTTAAAAACTATTGGAGAAAAAATAAAATAGCTCTTACAGCCTAAATTTTTCTTTATATGTGATAATAAACCATTTCTGCCTGAAATTAGGATCCTAGAAAACACTAGATATTAAAAAACATGAAATGCTGCTGAAATGGATTTAAAAGCAATTTACTATCCTGAAGACAAGAAGCTAACACTAGCAATATATTCACTTTTCTTTATAGTGTCTAATAATACCAGCTCAGTACAGTGCCTACAAACACGCAGCTCACAGAAGAGGGTTCAGAGAAAAGTGCACCAAACTCAACATGGGGGCGGGCGGGGAGTGAGCTTTCAGTTTGTACTTCATTTGCTTCTATACTGAAAAGTTTTATCACCACAAGCCTACTTTAATTGTGTATCTTTTTAAATCTGCAGAATTTGCAATACTCGACATAAAACTATGTATATGTTAAGGGTTCAAACTCTAAGAAAGAGCTGTATCTGGGAAATGCTGAGGAAAATTACCTTTGTTCTGTCTATAGAAACATAATATGCTTCTGACTTACTCGAGACCAGGTATGACTCTACAACTTTCGGACTCAGGAAAAATAGTATTTTGTTGTATTCTCTTGAAGAGAGGAAGATGACCTTGGGATTTTGGAACATGGGAAAATATTTCATAAAACAATACCTAAAAACAGAACAACTCAAAGAGAAAATGCTGCTATTTATAAACTCTCTCGAAGTATTGCACTGTGCATTCTTCTCTGCTGGCAGAGCTTGGACGCTGAGGCACAGGCCTCTCTCCCACCCCGTCTCTCTCACGAGCAGTGCCAAGCGTGCGCAATCTGGCCAGGGCTGACAGAGGAGCCTGCTATGGTCCTTGCAGTGGGTTGAACGGTGGCCTCCCCAACACATATATCCATCTGGAACCTGTGAATGTGACCTTATTTGAAAAAAGAGTCACAACAGATGTAATTCAATTAAGGATCTTGAGATGAGATCATTCTAGATGACCTTATTGGAAGAGAAGACAGAGGAAAAGGCCAGGTGAAGGTGGACGCAGAGAATGTAGTGATGTCTAAAGGCAGGATGGCTGGCAGCCACCAGAAGTTGGGACAGAGGCACAGAATGGATTCTCCCTCAGAGCTCCAGAAAGAAACAGCCTGCTGACGCCTTGATCTTGGACTTCTGGCCTCCACGATTATGAGAGAACACATTTCCGCTGTTTTAAGCCACCCAGTTTGTGGTAACTTGTTACAGAGCCTCAGGAACGAAAAAAATACTACAGCCACATAAGTTTTTCTATTCAAAGATAATCAGGCTGAATGGAAATCACAGCCAGAGTTGCCTCGTTAGGTTCATTCTAAAGATTCTCCATGGTTCTTAAGAAGGTCCCAAATTATATGGTATTCTTTTTAAAGTCCAAGGTAAATTATGTGTACCTGACATCAAATTATAAGGCTAGAGCAATCAAAACAGCGTGGTACTGGCATAAAAACATACATAGATTAATGGAACAGAATAGACAACCCAAAAATAAACCCACACCTATATGGTTAATTAATCTATGACAAAAGGGACAAGAATATAAAATGGGGTAAAGATAGTCTATTTAATAAATGGTGCTGAGAAAATTGGACAGATACATGCAAAAGAGTGAAAGTAGACCACTTTCTCACACCATATAATAAAAATAAATTCAAAATGATTAAAGACTTACATATAAGACCAGAAACCATAAAACTCCTAGAAGAAAACCTAGACAGTAAACTCTCTGCCATGGCTCTTAGTAAATTTTATTTTATTTTATTATTATTATTTTTTTGCTATACTTCCTTGGGTAAGGGAAACAAAAGAAAAAAAAATAAACAAATGAGACATCAAACTAAAAAGTTTTTGCACAGCAAAGGAAACCATCAACAAAATGAAAAGATAATGTACTGAATGGGAGAAGATATTTGTAAATGATACATCTGATAAGGAGTTAATATCCAAAATTTATAAAGAACTCATACAACTTACTACTCCAAAAAACAAACAATCCAAATATAATATGGGCAGAGGACCTGACTAGACATTTCTTCAAAGAAGACATATGGATGGCCAACAAACATATGAAAAGATGTTCAACATCATTAATTATCAGAAAAATGCAACTTAAAACCACAATGAGATATCCCCTCTCACCTGTCAGATGGCTATTATCAATAAATCAACAAACAACAAGTACTGGTGAGGATGTGGAGAAAAGGGAACCCTCATGCACTGTTGGTGGGATTACATAATTGGGGTAGCCACTATGGAAAACAGTATGGAGGTTCCTCAAAAAATTAAAACTAGAACTACCATATGACCCAGCAATTTTACTTCTGGGTTTTTATCCAAAGAAATCCAAAAAACTAATTCAAAAAGATATATGCATCACGATGTTCATTACAGCATTATTTGCAACAACCAAGATATAAAGCAACCTAAGTGCCCATCAAGAGACAACTGGATAAAGAAGACATGGTATATATATACAATGGAATATTATTCGGCCATAAAAATAAATGATATTACCATTTGCAACGACATGGGTGGACCTAGAGGGTATTATGCTAAGGGAAATAAGTCGGACAGAGAAAGACAAATACCATATGATTTCGGCAGTGAAAAAAGTGAAGGAATTACAAAGTTGTAAAATAGTCACGAGGATGTACAGTACAGCACAGGGAATATAGTCAATAATGTTGTAATAAACATGTACAGTGCCAGGTGGGTACTAGACTTATCAGGGGGGCTCATTTTGTAAGTTACATAAATGTCTAACCACTATGCTGTATACCGGAAACTAATATAATATTGAATGTCAACTGTAATTGAAACAAAAAGTTTTTTTAAATAATCTGTCAAATACAAAAAAAAATGAAAAAAAGTAAATTGACTGTGTCATTTACGGAAAGATTCTGATTAACAGAGAAAGAACTGCTGTTTATTGGAAGACAGTAGTTGCCAATTCTGAGTAGTAATACAAAATTCCCAGGCTCCTTACCATCGTCAGCCCTGCCATGATGCTGGTGGTGGGGACAGGAGTCTGTGTGCCGGGTCAGGTGGTTCTGATTCAGAATCAGATCTGAAACCACCTGCTTCACTGTCAGACGCTCACCATACACAGCCCTAAGCTGCACGCAGAGTTACTTGCTTAGACAGATGGAAGTGGCTGAGTTCCCTCTAGGTTCTGCTGAGAAAGGCTATTTACATGTCCAAAAAATTTGAAGAGGATGACAGGCTAAGCGTGGAAATTACCATGGGGCCTTGTTATATCTTCCCTACTCTTCGCCTCGGCCCAATATCATAAAGTGACATGGTTCAGGCAGATAAGAACAGAATAGACAAAGGAGGCACACTGGTCTAGGAAACACTATTATGGTAATAAGAAGAAAAGATGAAGTATTCCTTAAAATATTTCACTCAGTCAAAGCAACGAATTCTTGGGCTCAGGTCAAGCACTCCTTCTTACAGAGAAATTTTGAAAACCACCATAGTAAGCAATTACGCAAGCCTCAACCAGTTTCAAACCTTGCAGCTCAGCATCCTAAGCCGACAAAAATCTGACTATCTAAAAGCCTCAGCCCTTATGTGGTCATTAAGAACCTAAGAATGGTCATAAACTCAAAGTCTACGACTTCTGTTGTGTAACCTTCATGCCTCTGGCTCTTGGTTTACCGCAATTACTTGAATCCCAAAGCAGGGAATTGCGACCCAGGTTTAATGAAGAAGAAAAGTCTAGTCCATTCGCATGAAAGAATTAGGAGTGACACCCCCAGTGTCGGTTTTTCAAAAATCTTCCAATTTACGTTTCCTCTTCATGCATTATTAATGAATGGCATGTCAGGCCTGCTCTAAAAAAAAAATCAATTCACTGAGAAACAAAAGGTTCAAGTCTTGGTCATGGTTACCCACAAAATATAATGACTAGAAGCAACAACTCTTCGTAATGGTTCAAAGCCAGTGAATGTCACGTTGAAACAAATCCATTCCAAAACCCACGCAAAAGAAAAAAAAAAGATGTTCTCGCCTCACTAATAAACCGAGCATATTTGAATTTTGATGCCTTTGCTCAATGAATCAAGAGTTTGGGACTTACAATAAGACAATGTGCCGTCCCCCCCGCCCCCCGCCTTCTCAACATGGAAAGATCACAGCACACAGAATATTATAATTCGGAAATAACTTTTATGCATATTATTATCCACTTGAGCCTTACAATACCATGGATTAGCTACTGCTATTATCCATTCTTAAATGAAGGAACACCTCAGAATAACACATGTATTTCTTCAGTAGTTAATGAATTACCTGCCACCTAAGGTCATTTGGCTAAGAAGCAGAGATGTGAACACAGTATGATTCCAGAGTCCTTAGAAGAGACCATACACAATTAAAAACAGTACCAGCGTTATTATAACGAACTACAGATGTACGGCACCAAGAGTTACATTTGTCCACAAATTACAAATATGTAAGTGCCTCGCTTGTGTCTCAAAATAACTCTGAAGGTAGGGGAACGATTATTATTATGCCCACTCATGAATGAACAAAGAGAATCGAGGTCCGAGAGGTTAAGTGGCTTTCCCACAGTCACTCAATTAAAGAAGTGGTGGCACTTTGGGGACGTGGTGCTTTGCCTAATAGATTAGCTCTCTGGAGAAAATCTTCCCACGAGATGGTGTTAAAGGAAAACCACAGGCCCAAAATGGCATCTCTGGTACTAAAAGCCCTCGACAGCAA